AACGGAGGCACTGTTAGTTAATGAGGATTTTCCCAGTCAACCCTCTCCTTTAGAGCATGTCGAAATTACCACTGATCGTACTGGAACTACTTTTCGACTTGAACTCGAATTCTTCACCGGGTCCCGATGGCTTACATCCCTTGTTCCTCAAGGTGGCGAGTTCATTTCTGCACCCATTTGTCAAATTTTTCGGAGTTCACTTGAAGCAGGTCACCTCCCAACTAAATGGAAAGCAAATGTTATGAAACCGATGTACAAAGGTGGGAATCGTTAAGATCCAGTGAACTACCAACCGATTCGCCTGTCATCAATCCTCTGTAAAACCGGCCCTGCAGCTACATTTTGAGAAATTGGACGTTATCTCTCCTGCTCAGCAGGAATTTCGGGGAGCACGCTCTTGCATTACCAATCTGCTTGTTGCCCGAGAAAAGTGGGCGAAGTCAGTGGAGGCTGGTCATCGCCTCGATGTAGTTTTTGTGGATTTTAGCAAAGCGCTTGATAGGGTTCTACATTAGCGACTCCTTGTCAAACTTCGGCAGATTGGCATCGTTGGCAATTTGCTCGCCTAGATCGTTGATTGCCTAAATGATCGTAGTATGAGGGCGAAGGTTAACGAAGTTGACTCTGGTCCTGTTCTTATGACCAGTGGGGTTCTACAATGCTCCGTTCTTGGTCCCGAACTATTTAAAATCTTTATCAACGATCTCCCGGAGGTGCTCCAAATCGACTGCTTGATCTATGCGGATGATCTTTAACTGTGAAGTATCCAGGCTTGAAGATGCTGACAAATTGCAACTGACGCTGGATTTGCTGCACGATTGTTCTGTCAAGTGTGAAACGCCTATCAATCGTGATAAGTGCTGTGTTCACCGGATCGGCGATCAAGAACCTTTCGGTGCTTCCCACATTGGTGGTTTTCTGCTGAAGGTGGTTGGTGAGAAGGATTTCGGTGTACTTGTTTCTCCAGACCTAAGAACAACTCAGGACACGCTGCGGTAGGCAGCATCTGCCAACTGGATGCTCTGTGCCATACGAAGGTCGTCCTACAAATTGACATCGCAGAAATTCAGGCTCCTGTTTTCCTCTCACATTCGTCCAATACTGGAATACGGACTACCTGCCATACACCCACTCATGAAATTGGAATGTGTTGATTGAGAATGTTCGGAGACGCGGATCCAAGTCTGTGTCTATGCTACGTGTTTTACCTTATCCCCTTGGTCTCCAAGCTATAAACTTATTTGCTCTGGACTACCGCCGTCGCGGTAAACGCATTTTAAGTGGCGATTTGGGGAAGAAAATGCAGCAATTCTCCCAGCTCACACAGATTGTTCAACACGGGCCACAGCTTTTAAACCTCGGAGGAACCATATCCGGTCCAATGTCGCATTATCCACACGGGTTGTGAATGAGTGGAACAATCTCCATGAATGTGGTAAGTGCCCAGACAGAGAAATGTTTCAAAGAAAGATTGGACAAGTACATGCTGAGAATGACTGAATTCCGCTGTTTTTACTGCAGCTGTAACAATCGCTCGGGGAACACAGTTTAGCAACGACATGTGTCATTTAGCCAATGAACGGGAGGTGATGGAACTGACAAGGGTTTTCCCTTCTGCTCTCTACAACTCTGAATTCTATGAACACCCTGGTCAGCCAATTACTGTCCACGTTCCCTGCACTAGCAGTCCTCAGTGTTTAGGTCACGTGAAGGAAGACGTAGAAAGAAAATGGAAGATAAAGAGGAAGAATAACACCAAAGAGTGAGTACAATGACAGAATATGAACTGGATCATTGGGTGATAGAGAGCAGAAGGAAATTCCTTTGTCAGCTCCGTCACTTCCCAATCGTTTCGGAGATAGCCTGGGTCATTGCGAACAAGGTCCCCCAGAGAACCACTGAAGCTGCATTGGAAACAGCTGGATCCCCTTAAACTAAAATGAGAATCCAATAAATGCTTGAAACGTTCCTCGGTCTCGGCAACGACGATGGACTCCGGAAGGCGGTTCCAGTCATTCACAACGCGAGTGGATAAAGCCAGGCTGGATCGCACTCGATCACTCCTCGGTTTGAAGTTTCAAACTTTGGCCTCTTGTTGAACCCTCTGTGTTGAGATGAAAGAATTCCTGTAATTCCCTCCCCAATTCTCCTCTAAAAATACGTCGGGTGAAGATCAAGTCTCCGCGATGACGACGGTAATCCAGGGAAAAGAGGTTCAGTTGTGAGTCGGAGAGAATAGGATAGATCTCGCAGCTCAGCAACAGATTTGGATCCACGCCGTTGAATCTTTTCAAGCATATCACGTTCAAATTTCGTAAGAGGGTAGGCGGCAGGTAGCCCGTATTCTAGAAGCGGGCGTACATGTGAAGTAAACAGAAGTCGGAATATCCCCGGAGTCAGGCGAGAGAAGGCTCTGCGTACAGAGTGAAACATCCTGTAAGCCGCAGCGACCTTTTTTCTTGGTATTTTCATTAGATTTGAGGTCAGACGATAGTATCACTCCCAAATCCCTCTCCTGAGTGGCGTTTCTGAGCAAGGAATCAACAATATGGTAGATTCCAAATGGGGCAGACGCACCAACTGGAAGAACTGAACACTTCTCGTGATTTATTGGCAACTGCCACTTAATTGACCAATCATGTAGCAGGTCGAGTGTCGATTGCAACCTGTCAGCATCTTCCATACTGCATACCTCCATCCACAGCTTCCGGTCGTCGGCGTAGATTAGGCAATCCGCCTGGAGTGTGGACGGTAAGTCATTGATGAAGAGGTTGAAAAGCAAGGGGCCGAGGACAGAACCTTGTGGGACTCCACTAGTCATGAGAACAGGGGCGGAAAATGTTTCGTTTACTTGCATCTGCATCGTGCGGTCACAAAGAAAATCAGAGATCCAGGAGAGAAAATTGCCGGCAATACCGATTCCTCGGAGTTTAAGCAAAAGTCGTTCGTGCGGGACCCTGTCGAAAGCTTTGCTGTAATCCACAAACACCGTTTGCCGGAATCTAGCGATTCTGCCCATTTTTCCTTAGCATCTAGTAAGTTCGAGGTACATGAGCGTGCCCTTCGAAAACCGGGCTGTGCACAAGAGATTCAGCTCCTCGAGGTAGAGATGAAGAGCCTGCATCAGGATCCGCTCCATAACTCTATACAATATCGACGTTAAGCAGATAGGATAGTTGGCTGGATCTTTCCTGTTTCCTCCTTTGTATATGGGTTTTACAATGCCCACTTTCCAAGCCGACGGTAGACGCCCAGCTTCAAAGGAAAGACGGAAAACCTGACAGATAGGAGGGGCAATGTACTGCGCCACAGTCCTAAGGAACAGGGGGTGCAAGCCATCCGGGCCGGGTGAAGAATGCGGATCTAAATCAAGGAGAAGTTTAACCACAGAATTGATGTTAATGTCTACGTGATCCAATTGATAAGGAAAACTGGACAGTGTTGTCGCAGGAGGGAGTTTCTTTCGCGAAGACAGAGGCGTACTGCTGGGCCAAAAGACTGGCTTTATCAGCGTCTTCGTAAAGTAAATTTCGATGTTCAAAGAAACACAAGGTGTGGATGCCACTGCCAGCCCTGGTGCTTCTTTTTGGATAAGAGAAAAGCATTTTGGGTGTCGTTCTGGAATGTGCTGCTAATGATAGTTCATATTCCTGAGGTTTCTGCCGCTTCAACGTGACACAAGCATTTCTGGAAGCCTTGTAGGAAGAGTAAACGAACTTTATTTGAGATTGCCTGAAACGATCCCACAATTTGCGTCTTCTGTTCATCAGAGATCTCAATTCACTGTCAATCCAGCGTGGACATTTCTTGAAGGACTTTCTACGGGAGAAAGGAACGACCTGCTCAATGAGAGGTCATTTTGGAGAACACAAGGTTCCGCGCATCATCAAGAGGAATGGGATCAAGAATACTCCAGTCCATAGCGCTTGCGGTTGTTCTCAGACGGAGGATCCGCATGCCAAAATTTCCGAGGACAACCACCTTGGCTATGGATCGTGAGGCGACGTGTCCATTGGAATGAAACGACACAATGGTCACTTTTGCCGATGGGTTGAAGAACTGTTAGATGCGTGACATCTGACTGAGCTGGGGTGAGCACAAGGTCCAGAATGTTTGGCGTTTGATCGGCAACAATGCGGGTTGGCATGGTGACGTGTTGAAACAAATTACGATCGATAACAGCCCCAAGTAAGGTAGCATCAAAATTATCAGGTGGGCGACATAAAGAAGTAAGTCCCAATGGATATTAGGGGCACTAAAATCCTCCACGATAAGATTGTCCTTTCTCGCGCCGTGTTTCCTGGTCGAATCGAGCAAATGAACTCCGGATCCTGATGGCGCTCTGTAGACAACACCAATAGTGTAGGATCGGCATCCATCATGAATACGGTACCAAAGGGCATCAAAATCACCATCGTCACCACTAGTAGCTGCAACCAAATGGGTCTTGAGTTCGGCCTTCTAGTAAAGTATAACGCCGCCACCGGGCCTACCGCCAAGGCGGTCGGCTCGACAGAGACTGTATCCGGGGATAGAAACCCCTGAATCTATGATGTCCGCAAAAAGTCAAGTTTCGGTAAAGGCCACCAAGTCTGGGCGAGCATCTGACGCAAGCATCTGTACCTCATCAAGTTTATTTCTCAGACTGCGCATATTAGCAAAAATTACACGCAGTCGGTTCTCGTGCTCTACGGTCCTGGGTTGAGGAGAATTGGCCTCCAGGATCATCCAGAGTTCGAAAAGCCCTGCCAGGGTTATCTGGCGAACGCTATCAAGCCGGTCCAAAAGTGCGGAACACACAAATCCAGCAGTGACCATACAACGAGCGGTTCTTAGAACCGCTGGAGAATATGGAGCAAATAAAGAGCGTGTAATCCCTGGACCATATAAATCATGTAGCAACAATGTTATGAATCAAAAGGAGTTAAGTGTATAGTTGCTTTCGGAGCGTTCCAAAGAATGCCAGTTCAAAGTAAGTATACAGTTCCGAAAAGACTTACCTTGTCAGCGAACACCAATACAGAGGGGTTTTCGTATGGAATGAAACTTGACCCACGAATGAAGTAAAACAAACTTAACAAAAAGCTAACCTTTAATTGTTTGTACCAACCGTTATAGTCTGTTTATTAAGTAACAAACAGACAATTAAAATGAATTATTGTTGTCAGGTGATGCACGTTAACTTAAAGTAGGACTGCAATCGTTGGGAATTCCCGTGTTGGTTCCTTGGAGAGTGTATCTAAACCAAAGAGTTTACCAACTGTAATTACGGCAAGCTAGGAGGGCCGAATAATATGCGCGAATGGCAGCGTTATCAAGTTCATGGGGTGCTCGTCGTGTTCCAGTGCTCAGGATTTTTCACGGAACCTTTGCGTAATAACTGCGTTGAATAACAAAGAACAACATTTTGGCTGTTAGTTTGCTCGTAATTCAAAAGGCTTGAATGCGCCCAATAAACATATTGGAATTGCTGGCGAACGGATTTCCTCTTTCTCTATTGGTGAACTCGTGGCTAAAGAACACTGCGTAAAACGCGCTGTTCTTTATGAAGATCTTGCAAGCATACATCAATTCCCAATGTCCATGTGGATAGCCTCTCTATGGAAGGAATTCATACATCGGACGTACCTGGTTGCATTCAAACTGATAGCCGCGTGCCACTTACATGCTACTTGACAGCGCCCTCTTGTACTACATTGTAGTCCATCGTTAAAATGTCCAGACTTTTCGTTCCTCGTACGTAGCTTTAGTGCTCATTTATTGTTACACGTTAAAAGTAATAGTTAATGTTCCATCGAGCATTCAGTCAAATGATACAGTTTCGGTATGTGGTGAAACAAGTTGCTCTGCATCTGCGACCGACATATTGGGTGGTATGCAATGCGAACTTTGTGGTAAATGGTTTCATGAATCTGGTCCGCTCTGGTCAGGTCAGGTTACAAGGGCGATACAGGTCTCCGAATAACGAGCGTCCTGTTTCGTGCTCCTTTAAGTGCGCAAGAGCTAAAGGCAATTCGGCGTCGGAGTAACTTCTGCGGCTTCCGCAAAAGGTTGAAGCCAAATTAAAAGCTTTTTCTCTACTGTCATACAGAAAGTGTTATAGGAGCCTGATGCTGTACACTTACGAAACTTCTGGAAAAAGTGCAGACTAACACCTATATCGACCATATATAAATGCCTCTACTGCGCTGCATTCTATTGATGCTGTAGAAAGCTTATTCCATTTATTAACTGCAAGATGCACAAAGAATTTCGCCCCGGTATCCGGCCTAGATCACTGATGCTCGCGTTATGGTGGTTTCCTCGCAAATGAGCTGACCCGACTGGCACAAACCGTTCAATATACTGGATGTCATTAGAAGCTCTTATGATTTTAAAAGTCTATATTAGCTCCTCTCTTAGTCTGAGCCGTTCCAATGAATACATACGTGAGCTCCTTAGGCGTTCAGCGTATGGATTGTCACCTAAAACCTGGGTCACCCTAGTAGCCGGTTTTTGTAAGCTTTCTATACAGGCAACGCCTTTCCGTTGGTACGGTGCACAAGCCTGTACGCAGTTTGCTGGAGGAGATCATACAGCCGCTTTGTATAAGGTAAGAAAATCCCTCTACCTCTAGATGAGCCGCCCACAAAAGGAAGCTATATCCAAGAAAGTTGGGACAGTGAGGTACCACGCTTACGGGAGTCACTAAGCTAGTCTACAGAATCCATAGAATAAAAATGGACACAAGCCTTGCTACCGTTTGCAAAAAGCAGATATTGTAAATACTGTGTAGAACGGACTCACTGACGAAAAAGTTGTATTATCCAGCGTTGAGGTTGGTTCGCCTTCGGGGTCACCAAGTTAGCGAGAGCCCGGATGGAACCGAGCGGTTCCGTATAGTCGCCGGCTAATGCTCCTATGATGCGTGGAGTACGGATTCCACGTCGCAGTGCTTTTTATACTAATACTAGTTTTTCTTAGAAATATTGCCGAGTCAAACGCCATTCATCCAAAGGAACGATTGCTTGATGATCTTCAATGGCTTATGGTTTGCTTTCCTTAACTGCTACCGCCTGGGTTCCCTGATCTAACTGTATGGAAATCCATTAGTCTTTTTACAATGCAGTTGGATCCGTTGTACATTAGACCGCGTTTCCATAAATAACTAAGTAATTAAATAAATAAATCAAAATTTTATTCTGGGCATGGGGCATGCAGCTACTGTCCTGATCATGTTATGACAGCAGTGGATGAAGGAAAAGGTACACGAACACAATACGCCTGGCATCAAAGTAAATATGTGCATGAATGTGTGCGTAACGGTGTATAGCTGTAGCTTTATAGCTTGTGCTTGTAAGTGTGCCGTTGTATTTGTGACTGACAAAGTCGGCAATGTAAAACTGGACGATGGCTGTCCGTGGATTGGATGTAGTATCCAGGTTTAAACGGAGGGGTGACTTACGTTTGTGACGAGCCACATTCAACACATCACGGTGTTGTAAAACGGATATAGGTGGCTTTTTATGGGGAGAAGGCTTGCCCGGCGAAAACCCACCAAGTCCTGGAACGCTGTCGCCGAACTAATTTCTGGAACGGCTTACATCCGAATCACCCAGTTGGCACCACGTGGACGATTTTTGGCTAGCTAACCTTTGCTTACAACACGTAAGCAAACGCATAGGGTTAATGTATACATGGATCTGATCCCTCACGGGCGCAGCATCTAGCCACACTAGAAATATACCTCTTTATTTGTTTAGCTGTATTTCGCTTTTTTAACTCAAAGGTTCTGGGGTTAGTATTCCGTCTTAACTTCTATTGCCTGACAGCTAATGATTAAAATCGCCAATAAGGACATAAAGCGCGTCACGAAACCAACGAATCGTGTCTCCATTTTTGGGTTTTCGTTTAGTGTACCCATGATCCACTATGGTCGTTCCGGCGCTCCTTCTGAGGTGCCCAGGATCCTCAGCTTCCCAGCTTTGTTTTCCTAAAGTAGTAATTGGCCCTGTGCGCAGTCTAGGAAACAAGGAGCCCGAGCTCGGCGCTATTGTCGGTGTTTCCAAGCCAGACGTACTTGCTTTCATTGAGCTGTGGCCGCTCACCGACATTCTGGACAGTGAAATATGTTCACCATACAATTCTACTACCTGATGGCACATCGGAGGTGAATTTGCTTTTAACGTCCGATCCACCGTAACCATCTTGTCAACATAAAGGTTCAGCTTTCAAGGTAGAACAGCTGAAGTTCATTGGGTGGAAGTGTGTACATCTCTTACGCAATTGAAAGTGTGTGGTATACAGAAACCCCGACAGTGTGTCGTGTGGGTTTATTGGTTGTATCCGCCCTCCTATGGAAAGCAAATGCCAGGAACTAGATAAGTTTAATACCACCAAGTTTTATCGGCTGAAGTTCCATTTCAAAGCGGCGGCTGATTTTTCTTCTACTGACCTCGTTGACCTCCTTTACAAGCATTTGTTTCTTAATTTGTAAAGTGGCCCACTAGGTATATGGAGGGACAAAATACACTCTCTTAGAAATTGCTAGGTCAGTGGCCTTAGTGGGAGACCTAATGCACGATTCCACTTAGCTGCTAGTGACCACGTGTGCCTGGTAGTCAAATGCACCCTGAGTCTGGTCGGGAAAGGTGTATCACCCGTAGCCCAGATCTCTGGAGCGCAGGTATGAAAGCTATGAATGCTGTGGCTTCAAAGTTCCCTTGCATCAGCTCGGTGTCTGATACTGCTCAGATCGCGTGGGACAAATTTAAGTCCTTTCTCTGCAGGATATCTCACCCAAAACCCAAACACAGTGAGGAATAAATTGAGGCGAAGCCGCCTGGTTTGACTCTGAAGTGTGCGGGATGCTCAGTAAATAAATAAATAAATAAACTTTTATTCTCGACAAGGCGAGGCACACCTTTACAGGCATGATCATGCTTAGCTAACATAGTGTGATCAAAAATGTACAAAAAGTACATGTTTGGTATAACAGTGTATGTAAGTGTATGAGTGTATATACGTATGTAATTTTATATAAATGTTGCTTGTGTCTGAATATGCCGGAGCATTTTTGACTGTTTCTTATCCTCAGGAATGTGAGCATAAGGGATTGATGTCTGCAAGTTGGATAGCACTTTCCGGATATCCAGCGTGTATGTGTGTATATACGTATGTAATTTTGTATGAATGTAGCTTGTGTCTTTGAATACGCTGGAGCATTTTTGACAGTTTGTTATCCTCAGGAATGTGAGCATAAGCGATTGATGTCTGTGGGTTGGATAGCACTTTCCGGATATCCACGGGCCAGTGACTTTATTTTGTGGCGAGTCACATCCGCCACGTCGCAGTGTTGTTAAACAGACATTTGTGGCTTTTTATAGGGAGAACGCTTGCCAGGCGAAAACCCACCACGTCCTGGAACACTGCCGCCGAACTATTTGCTGGAACGGGTTAAACCCGAACCACCCAGCTGGCACCACGAGGAGGTTGTTCGGCTAGCCAGCCGGGAGACTTGTATCTTCACTCCCGCAGAAAGCAGGATCAACGCTACTGCGTGTGCGTACTACCCGTAACCAGCATTTGCGGGCAGCAGGCTGAGATATGGTCTGCAGTAAGTCTGCTCCGCACCAGCTAACCCGAAGCGGCGGTTAGATTACGCCTAATGGTGATGCAATGCAAATTCGTCTAGTCCCTTGCGGTTAGGGCTTGACGACACCGAAGAGTCAAATGAGCAGGAGATAGGCCTGTTATCTTCCAGAACAGTTTCCAAGGTCGTTTGTTCCCGATTCGCTGCTGCCAAATCATAATAAAGCAACAAAGCTTGCAGTACACTCTTTTCTGATGGATGTTTCCATCTATGAAGCGCAGGTGCTCACCCTGCTACGTGAACTAAATTCCACCAAAACTGCCGGGTTGGATGCCATCTTTCATAAGCTTACGCACAAGCTGGTCTATGTGCTAAATAAATACATATTTTATTCTCGACAAAGGGAGGCATGCTCAAATATATTTTTAAGTTCTTTTCGTAATTGCACTCTACCTACCGGTTAGAGGGAGGCTATCGTATTGTTGTTCCCAACTAAGGGAGATAACCACCCTGAGAATTAGCGCCTCGTTAGCTTGACAAACAAAGTGGTTTACTTTTTAGAGAACCTGGTTAAAGATGCTCTCTAATGCACTTGCATAAGTTCAGTTTGCTCGACGCGTGTGAACATGGGTTCCGCAGGCTCCGTATAGATAACAGCCGATAGCACAGAACCACAATATTCTTAAGATGCGTTTATAGAGCCACTGACACATCGCAAGTGTGATAATGCATCCATGGCAACCTTACAGCATGCACCGAGCCATCTCTGGGGATACAAATTGGTCGCAGGTAAATTCAGCTTGCCTGATCTGAAATGGCTGGATAGCCGAACAACCACCACGTGGGGCCAGCTGGGTGGTTCGCGTTGATCAAGTTCCAGCGACTTGTTCTGCTGCAGTGTAGCAGGACGAGGATGGTTTTCGCTTGGAAATCGTTCTCTCTATACGAAGCCACAAAGGTCCGATATACAACACTGCGTGGTGGCGGAGATGACTCGCTAATACTTAAATTCCATGCCTTCCTTTTCCGGAGGATTCCGAAGTCACAACCGTCATCCAATTCGAATA